AGCTGCTCATGGAGATGGGGCTGTGGGAAGGCGAGCCAACCCTACGCGTTCACGAGTGCAGCGCGTGCAGGGCGGAAAAGGCGGCAACAAGGCAAGCCATTACCGCCTTCAACCGCGGTGGAGAGGGGCGGCAGCAGGTGGTGGACAACACGGGGCAGGGAGAGGAGGACGGCGGAGAGGACGGGGACTCGGGTGGGAGCGGGGCAGCTGGTGAAGCAGGCAAGAGGCGTCGCTGCTGCGTCGTGCGCGTTCTGTCTGAGCTCAAGGCGTTCAGGGAGGAGCTCAACATGGTTGAGAAGCTCTTCAAGGCACACGGGCACCTGTGCATCTTCTTGCCGAAGTACCACCCAGAGCTCAACGCAATCGAGCGATACTGGGGGTACATCAAGCACCTCCTCCGCCTCCACTGCGAGTATTCCCTTCGCCACATGCTCCAGGTCTTGCCCGGCGCGTTGAGCGGCGTACCCGCACGGTTTATCCGCGCATGGAGCAGGGTGACGTGGCTGTACATCGAAGCCTACGACGAGGGCCTGGAGGACTACCTCGAGTACCGCGATCTCAAGGAGTGGGGGAAGCACCGAGAAGCCACCGCCAGGGGAGATGCCGTGATTCAGGCGAGGGGGGCGGGGAAGACGCCGGAGCAGAAGAAGGCAGCCGAGGCGAAGGCGCTTGCGGCTGCGCAGGAAGTGCACAAGAAGTGGATGGCAGCGACCAGGGAAGCCTTCAACACGTGGACGAGCAAGAGAGCCTCCCGAAAGGAGCAGCTACGGCTGTGGATTTTGCGCAACACGATGAATTTTTTGAGGAAATGGTTGGGCGGGCACACTCAGGCGTGAGTGGGGAGGGTACGTATCTATATGTCGCGGTGTGTTGTAGTGTTGGTTTCTCGCGTTTAGGTGCGGTAGAGGCGTTCGTCATGGTCACCAACTCAACGCTATAGCTGTCTCTCTTGGTATCGGACTTGCTTAGAGAGAACGGATGTGATTGCTGCATGCTTTGTTTGCAGCACCTTCACCAGCCAGGGGTTGAGTAGAAAGTAAACGGCGGTATTGTATGTATGTATGTACATACGTAACGTGTAAATAATGTAAATATGGATTGACAACGGTTTAACTGATGTTCTGAAGGCATATACGTGTAGAAGGGAGGGGTTGAGGGGGGGTCGTGGTTACTTTGGGGGCTCCGTGGGGTCATGAGGGGGTGGGGGTGGGGGCTCCGTGGGTCATTTTGGTCAAAAATGTCGCATTTCACCTAATCACCAAAAACTCATCGGATTTCGACGAAGCTCGACGCCGCGGTCACGCCCAAAGTTGCTTCACTTTCCAAATCGTTTTTTTTCGAAATTTATCGCGAAAAACAAGATCGTGAATATTTGCCCGAACGGACCATAGCAGCCGGAGTTCACGTCCAGCTGGTCGCTGCAGAAGTTCTCGATAGTGTTGCCGGAGGAGCCCTCCTTGATGTTGATACACTCGTTGCCGCTCGTGGAGGTTCGGTTCCCGGAGACCAGGTTGCCGTTGCAAGCGTTTTCCCCGTTCTTCCACTACAGGTTGTGTGGGGTGATCGGGGTAGGTTGTTGGTCAAGGGTACGGCATCGTGTTGTTAATGTTGTTGTCGTTGTTGCTGTCGTTGTTGTTGTCGTTTGTCGTTGTCGTTTGGCGTCGTTGTTGTTGTTGTTGTTGTTGTTGTTGTTGTTGTTGTTGTTGTTGTTATTCTTCTTCTTCTTGCTGTCGTCGTTATTGTCGTTGTTGTCGTTGTTGATGTCAAACAGACCGCTCAGTACGTTTAACATCTGTGTCAATCTGACCCGGACGACTCTCGTGGGCAGCAGTTACGGATTTCTGCATGAGGCCGCATATATATCTTGTAGTGCCAAACGGGCTTTTGGCCTGGATAGGGACGTTCGTCTGTGTCACCAGAGGTTCCACCGGCCTACCACTGGGCGACGAGCGGCCTAACTCCTGCGGCCGACTAGGTACCGCCGGCATTTACGAAACGCCAGTTTGGCGCGGAGGCTCAATCTCATGTATCGACTCCACCGTCCAGCATAAGTTATTCTGTAGAGTTTGGTGTAGGAGGATCCGCGGCTGAGATGTGTTTCTTGGTCAATTTTTCTTACGCGTCGCCAAAATCTGAGCCTTTGTTTCTCAATTGCGGGCACTACCATATTCCAGCATCCGACCTTGCTTCCGTTCGCCGTCTTGTAATAGTACTGTTTTTTATCACCTACGAGTACGTTGTCTTCCACAGATGAGAGCCATCCGAGTACCGGAATAGCTGAATGATGAAATCAAACTGGAGTTGAACGATGACCGACAAAGCTGTATTTCCACAATTCCCTCTACTTTTCTTTTCCTTGCTGTACATATCAACATCACCCCCTCGTCGTTGCTGCACCTACTGTACCTGGGTGCTGGAAGTGCCGATGTAGACCCCTTCTCCGTTCTTGTACCCCGAGTTGAACAAGAAGTCGTGAACGCCACAGTTTGAGATGGTGTTTCCCGTGACCTGGGCTTGAACACATAGTCCTTGAGGCGCACGCGCTCTCCCCTGTTCTAAGCAGAGTGGTGGATGTCGCGGGGTACACGGTCAGTGTCGGGAGCTACGTGCCGGTGGTAGAGGCGGTAGTTTTGATCTATTCTGGTAAGTCACCGGCGGCGAGGGCTTCGTGTGTGTGAGAGACATGCACGGATTGACGGAGGGAAAGCAAGAAACGTTTCATGCTTTTTTCCAATCTTGTTCTCCGAGGCGGGCGACGGGCGGGTGTTGTCGTGAACGCTGCGGCGGGATAGTGCAAATTTATACGGTACGGTACAATGCAAGAATCAGTTGGGAAAATGTGCAACGACCATGAAAGGCGTCCGCGTTTGTTGGACCAGCACGGACATTACAAGGTACTGAGTGGAGAACGGAACGAATTATTATGTGACGACAACAACAACAACAACAACAACAACAACAACAACAACAACAACAACAACAACAACAACAACGGTAACGGTGGTGCAACGTACCACGTGCCACGTGCACAAAAGTATTCAACAAGCAAACTCACCCGCAGTTCTGGACGTTCACGTCCTCCATGACGAACCCGTCGAGGACGGCGGACGATTGAGACCCGGGCCCTTCCACGTACACGCATTTGTTCAACCAAGAAGCCTCGTCGGTGTCTGATGTTCCGATCTTTCCTACAACAACGCTGAATCCCTATGATATCTCTTCATTGTGGTCGCGTGTTGATGTCTGTTTGCGTTGTCTTGTCTACATAAAGCCAGGGAGGGCGGCTGCGAGCCCCGTGGCGTTGTCCATGCAGTGTAGACTACACTACATAAGCGAACTGAATGGGCTGGTTATCCGAAGTGGGCTAGATAAAATTTGCTCTGTTTGCCGTCTCACGGAAGATTCGCCGGGAGGGGCATATATATTTTAGTGGACTACGAAATAAATAACTGCTATTGAGGCGATCGACACTACAGCGCTAGGCCTTCCTGCTACTATTGGCCAGACCCCAAGTTTGATCGACTTCCGCGCGCAGTAGCGTACGACACAAGAATGCGACCATGTGCGACCATGCGCGCTGTTATTTCTCGTCTTCCCAGGTTCGTTCGCCGTCTTGCTGTTTTACCTCTGTTTGGAAGCTCCGACTCTTCTTATGGTCAGCTTCTGTAACAGAAATCAACAGACCCATGTTGACCTAGGGCGTAGGGCATATCGTGAGGCGGGCCCCGTCGCCGAAGTTCACCCCCGTCCGCGCGCAGCAGCAGACACAACAGTGCGCGAACATGCATTCCTCGTCGTTACCACTTCGCCGTCTTGCTGCCGCTCTTCGTGTGATCATTTCGGAAAAAATGAATCATCTCTCGCCTTCTCCAAAGTTTTGAAAAAATGAATTACACATCCTCTCCTAATGTTATTGTAGAAATAATATCGGAACATACGAATATCACCTTGGTCGGTGGGGTGTTTCCGGCCCCATCGCGCAATGAACTTCAGGAGAAACGAACATCACTTCTTCAATTATTGTTATCTAGAACGATTTGACTGTAGACTATGTCGAAAAACATTCGGAAGAAAGAATCATAGGCATTGGCCTGTGGGGCTTTATGACCCCCCTCGCTCAGTGAATTTCGAATAACTATAACTCACTTCCCTTCACTTCTCCATATGTCAAGATATGGAGGTTCAGGAAACAGACACACGTACATACAGAGTACGATCTAAGAGATCCGTGATTATTATAGATCACGGGTTCATGACTCTTGCGATTCCCAACAGCTGCAAATGGTTGATGCACCTTCAGGGGGATGGGAAAATGAGACCACGACGGCTCGCCCATTCTCCACACATACCCCTAGCTTGACTTAGTTCACTCGGTCACGCTTGGTATTCCTCGCCACATAGCACCGCAGGAAACAGCCAGCCTCCGGTGGCAGGCCATAGCCACCACACTCCGGGCTCTCCGCTCACCCAAAGTAGGGGGTTCCATATCTCTCATCTCCTAAAAAAATTGAATCTCACTTCTCCGATTGTCGTATGCATTGAAAAAAAACGGAAACAGATCAGCCCTCCGGGAACAACTTCTTACCATACGCCGTATACGTGTACTGGCCAGGGAAGTTAGTCCTTGTTGTTGTCGTTGTTGTGTTGTTACATATGTTGGTGGTGGTGGTGGAAGTAAAGTGGTGATGTGATGTTCCACAGGTGGACGTCCACCTCCCTTCCTCAAAATGTCGGATGCGCTCGCCCCCTTGTGGAGACCGTGACAAGGTCAAACACCTTGGAGAAGAAAACCCAGGCCTCGAAAGGGGAGAAATCGAGGTATTTTTTAGGCCTTGGTTTTCTTCTCCAAGGTGTTTGACCTTGTCACGGTCTCCACAAGGGGGCGAGCGCATCCGACATTTTGAGGAAGGGAGGTGGACGTCCACCTGTGTCGTGCTGGTACTTTAGGCGCTTGGCCTGAGGTTATGGAATCCGTCCGTTTCGAGGTACTTCTGGGGACGCCTCGCCTTGTAGAGTCTGTTCCTTCTTCATGTCCGCCGTCGATTTGGCGAAAACAACCGCGACTTCCCAATATAACGAGACAATTAGCTTGAGCCGGGGAACGACGACGATGCTCGTTGCGTTGATTTATCACAATCACAACCACCCAAAACAACCACCCACCACACCTAGGACACAACAGATAGTAGGCGGGTGGTGTCCCAAGGTGCAACTCACCGCCGCGCTGGCTCAGCGTGGCGGTGAGGATGCACAGACGGTGGTAGTGGCGAGAGGTGTGTATGGACACTGTTCCCGCGGCAGTAATGCAAAGCGGCAAACTGCACCTGGCAACCACCGTCGCGGAAAGCGTGGCCCACGAAGCTGGAGGAGTAGAGAGATTCGTAAACACCACGTCAGCAAGCACCGCTCGCGGGAGAAGGGAGACGATCGCGGGCACCGCGGGGAGGGAGTGCTGCACCCTCCTCGTCAAAACACCACAGG